TCAGAATTTATACGAAAAATTGCGAATTGAGTCTTAGAGTATACCGATTGAAAACTAAACGACGGATCCACAGTCCACAAGAGGAGAGGAAGATTTTTCCTTTTTGTGCCTCGCCGGCCGGTCGCCGGACTGCTGCCGGCGCCGCGCATGCTGGCCGGAAAAGTTAGAACCGACCAGAATTTAGACACGATCATACCATTCAACTCAAAATCCACTAAGAAGTCCATTTCGATCATTGGTTTAGTGAGATCAACCCTTTAGTTGGCCGAAACGGGCTTGAAAACCGCCCCTCACAGCCGTTCATGGTGGTTCCTCAAAACTCAAGTGAAATCGCAAATCAGTGGAGGGGAAACGTTCATGTGGATGAGAGGAGTCGATTGAAACCACCCCCAGCACTTAAGTCGACGGAAATGACGAGATTTTGCCAGAAAACTCCATCACACGGTGACGCGGCCTTCTAATCGCGATCTCTCTCGATTCAAGCTCTTATCACACGAACCGAGGCCACCGAAGTGATTGTCTCGTCGAGCTCTTAAGCTTAGAGTCCTCACTTGCCAAAAATGATGGCCGTTTGGCCGGAAAACGGGAAGGAGAGGGAGGAGGGGGCTATTGCGCAATGGATGAAGAAGAAGAAGAAGATAAGAAAAACAAAAGAAAGGAAAAATGTAGAGCTTCTGGACCATTCCGATTCGATTCGAATCGATTTAGTGTAATTCAATGATTTGGCTCAATTTGCTTGATTCTCGGGTTTGGTTTGATTTATTTTAATTATTTTAGTTATGTTCCTAAACATTTCCTCATTTTACTCAATAATAAAAAAACAATAATAATAATGATATTTTATTTTGGGATAATTAATTTATATAATAGTCACACATATATATTTATAATAGATTAGCAACTGGAGTTCCATTTTTTTTTTCGAAAATTTTAAGTGTTCTCAAATCGAAAATTCCAATAATATATTTTTTGGCTTGGGCCCAACTCGCAAAATTTGGGCTCGAATTGAGACTATGCTATACTTGTAGACCACACAATCAAATTTTCTGATTTTTGATTTAATAAAAAAATTCAAAAGTTTTAAAAATAAAAATTCGAGGTGTTTCAGTTACTTTCTTAACTAGACATCAAGCAATAAATCTTTTATATAACTTAATTCATTATCTTCTTAATTCATATAACATAATCCGAATTTTAAAATAACTATTACCCTTCCATCAATCAATTCTCCTTTTCTTAGATTACCTTTTTTTTTTTTTTTTTTTTTTTTTTTTTTTTTTGGTCTCCTAAATTAGAAACTCGTTAAATATTATAATTTATTTCGTTAACTTAATTCCTTAATCCGTATATGATCACTAGCTTAAGGAACTAATTTCTCCCTTAAAAAGACGAATATATATTTAATATAATGAAACTAAGTCCAAAATGATCTCCTTTTTTTTTTTTTTTTTTGGTCTCCAAGATAACTCGTTAAATATTTAATTTATTTCGTTACTTAATTCTTAATCCGTAATGATCACTAGCTTAAGGAACTAATTTCTCCTTAAAGAACGAATATATATTTATATAATGAAACTAAGGTCCAAAATGATTTAATTATACTTTCATCCCTTTTTCATTTAATTACTTATACTCCTTACTTATTTTATGGTCAACACATCTTAAATTGATATATAATAAAGTTATGGTCCAATATAATTTCATTTCGCTTCTAATTCTCTTTTTCCTTAAATGTATATATTTCTCAAGATCAAGAATCAACTTGATATGTTTCACTTAATTTATCTAAAACTTATATCATAAATCCACACTTACTAAGATTCTTAATTAATTCATATAACCGCAATTAACATTTGCTTTAATTTGTTAAAGCTTCTAATCCAATCAATATTTGTGGAATATATAGGAAAATACCAAAATTAAATTAGCTAGCAACTAGAAATTAATTAATTTTCTAGAAAATAATCAGAATTGGTTCCAATACCCAAAACACAACACTGTCGGAAATTGCTTGGCCGGAGACAGTGGTTGTGCTCGTCGGAAAGTCAATTGGAGATGGCTGACAGAACTGTCAGTGGCGAGGAAGGGACAAATCGGCTAGCCTCCAATGAGTCTCGCCGGAAAACGACAGGACCACGCTGGCGACAGAGGCATAGAAACATTTCTCTGCTGCCTCGTGGGAAGAGGAGAGAGAGGGAGAGAGAGATCCCTCAAGCTGCGTCGTCAATGGAGAAGAACCGCAATCGACCATTCACACAAAGCTCGCCGGAAAAACAAGAAAAAAGAGAGGAGCGAGCTATCGATCGAAGTCGCAGCTCCTCTTGCTCGCAGCACTGAAACAGAAAGGAAAGGGAGAGAGAAAGAGACCAGCGGCGTGATGGTGAGTAGGAGATGGCGGCAATTGGTTCAACGCCGGTCAGCCAAGGTGGTGGCTGAAAAATCAAAGAGAGATAGAGAGATCGGTGCCGCTGAGAGTCAGAGAGGAGGAAAGAAGAAGAAAAATAAAAGAAAGAGAGGTTTCTGGGTTATTCTGGTTCGATTCGAACTGATTTGGTCCAACTCAGCCGTTTAGTTTGGTTTTCATTTGTTTGTAGATTTTTCATCCGGTTTGAAGATTTCCAACTGGTTTATAGGTCTGATTTAGTAATAATAAAATATTTGCTTTTAAATTTCATTATATAATCCCATTGGTTGAAATTAAAAATTAATTTTTAAAATAAAAATCTATAAAATTGAAATTTCGAGTTATTTCACTTCTTTTCTAGTAATTTAGGGTTTGCTCTATTAAAATAAGATAAAATTTGAATCTAAGGTGAAATTGTAATTGAATGCGACCTCTAATTATAACAATATATTTGCTATAATTTGAATTTGAAGTGTAGTTGTGATAAAAAGTTAAAATTGGAGTATCTTAGTGGTTAAGGTTATTTTGGGATGCAATTGTTACGATTGCCAAAGTTTTGAATATTTAATATAATTTAACCAACTCATTGTGTGGGTTAAGTTAACTCAAATATAAATTGTATGACCCATATTTAATATATTTTATTCACTAATTCTGACCGATTTTAGGTATAATTGTGACAAAAAATTTCAGTTGGATGCCTAAGGGGTTAAGTTGGATTCATGATGAAATTATTACAACATACAAAGTTTGAGGTATATTTAATGATTTACCTGCAGTTGGGTTGGGGGCACAAGAGAACTGTGATGCCATCCTAAATGCGATAAACAATGTGTTTCAATTGTAAAATAGGATTGAGAAAATTCTTTTTTTTTTAATATTTTTTGGGTCCCACAATATGGGTTTGTCTTTTTCATATAAAATTAATGGAAAATCAATATTTTTTGGACGAAAGGACTACATTTTGAGATGGAAGCAAACCTCAAAGATATCCGAATAATTTAGCCAAAATACATGAATGAAATTATTAATTTGATCAAAAATCAAAGACGGAATAGTAATTTTTTATTTTTTTTCTTTTATTCAACACTCATCACCAATATGACATTTTTTTCTTTTATGTGACACGTCATTGGAACGTGTTTTCAGTTTCTTTTTGCGCAAAATTCATAGTTAATATTGAAAAATACAACTCCAACGGTATAATAGATTCAGTAAATTTGAGGATGCCACAAAGTTAAACGCGTAAATTTCAAGAGCAAATTTATACACGTAGTCATTCAAAGACAGTAAATTAAACTTCTAAGAATGATAGAATAGAAATCAAACCTCTCTTAGCTGGTTTTAGGACAGTTTTGATATCATCATTTTTTATTCTGTCTCAATTTGGCAATCGAAATTAAACAACTTATTTCAATTTTTTTTCAGTTTTAACATGCACAAATACTAATTAGTATTGAAAAATACCAAAATTAACAAAAGGTCTTGAAATTTTTTTAAGAAAATACATTAAAACAAAAAAAAAAAAACTTGAGAATGTCTTTAGTACCAATTTTTTACAGTTTCATACCAAAACTGTCAATTTTAAACCGAAATCATCAATTCCAATTTCAAGGATCAAAACCAAACTATAGTCACGCAGTTTTGATTATGGTTTAAAAACTGAAGACGGATTTGATTTTGATTTAGAAGCAAACATTGTTCATGTCTACTCTGTACTGACAAAACCTTAATGCAACAATTGAAGTTGGTCGCTACGCCCGCGTTGCCATCAAACTCCGTTCCTAATGTTTCTTAAGCTAGCAATGAGAAAACCATGACGAAAATGTTGCTAGTTCTCACACACCGGAAGAAGTTCCTCCGCTTGATGATACTAGGGATCTGTTTGGTTTAGCTATTAATACCAATCCATAACTGATGTCGGTTGCTAATAACTGATGGATGTTGGTGTCTGGTCAAATTTTAATAACAATTACAGTTAAAGTCAACAACTGACTACTACGGTAGATTAGGATTTGGATATTGAGATGGAAAAGCGAATGTGTACTAACTAGCTTTTCATAACTAAGGATTGAGCCTTCTATCTTGATCCAAGTTCAACGTATTGGCTTGTCATAAAAGGTTTATCGCTTCTAAGATCAAGATTATTTACAGATCAGAGATTTATTAATGATTATAATTATAATTGCAATTCTCAATATCTCTATTACTTCTTTGAGTTGTTTTTAACTTTCAGAAGCTTTTAATTCTTTTTTCCGGATTGGGTTTTAATGTTTGGAAGCTAAGAAAATTGAAAAAACAAACAAAAAAAAAAAAAAACCCCAATCTGGCTCTAAAATCCCAAAAATTTGAATTATTAGATTCACAAGATTTGGCTACAATTTCTTATCTTTTTAGGAACAGAAATTGCAGCTAAATTTACGGGATATTTTTATTGATTGAAAGATTATTTCCTTGGACGAATGCAAATATTAGAGATAAAATAATATATTTACAAAAGGAAAAGAAAAAAAAAATTAGTATCATGCAAATCTCAGAGACTAAACAGTAATTACCCTTCTATATATTAAAAATTTATAGAACTATTTTACAAGAGTAAAATAATATTAAACTTCATGTAATTAATTCAGGAGTAAAATATCTTCTTTTCAAGCTAAACATGTCAAAAAGAATTCAATTGGTTGATAAATGAGAAAGAGGAAGATTTTCACAACTACATCAATCTTTCAGCTTTACAGTGATACATAGGCATTTTATAAAATTTACTTGCCAATTTTCTAATTCCTCTCTGCCTGGTTTGAGGGGGAAAAAACCAGAAATCTACGTCAATTAGAACATTCCTCTCCAGCATAAGATTACTTGAACTCACCTCCCTTCAGTCTCACTTCAAACCAGAAACCTCAATTACTCAAAAGATAACCACAAGTAAATTAATCACCGAACATGTTTCCACTTCCATTTTTTTCTCTTTTTTTTTTTTTTTTTTCTTGATTCCTCTAATCAATCCTCGTATAACTTCTATAACTTCTATAACTTGATGACAATCAATGAAATGATCATATTGATAATCAACAGCTCAGATCTGTATCTACCACCGCACAGAATTTACTCTACGAAGAACACGTGGTGGTCTTCGCTTCTCAACAACTGGAATGAGGTTCTTCATAAGCTGCATTTTGAAAAAACAGTTAGACCCACAAAGAACAGGTAATGCTGAATGAGCAACGAGCCACAGATTTCATGTACACAACACAATGCTTAGATTTGGTTTGGATCCCCAACACCTACCAGATGAAACCTTAGTTCACAAAACCCCTAAGTTCTGTTTGACATTGAAGAACATCTGAAAAACAGTCTTAAACCAGTGTGTAGTAGTTTTAGAACTTCAATGACCAAAATATATAAAATTCACTTCAAAAAGTTTTAATGACTTCTTAATATACATTCTCACCAAAATGTTTTTCTCAGGCCAAATATATAAATTTACCTGAACTTTCTTACTTTAACTTTATGACACTTTTAATTTTAAGAGGTCGTACCTTAAAATTATGAATTTCGAGAACATAGTAAGTGTTTAATTGATCAATTTTGTAAAATTGAAGTGTTCAACAAATTAATTTCTCAAGTTGAATTTCACAAGTGTAATTTTATAAATTGAAATGTTCAATAGGTCGAAATAAAAGTTGAGGGTGACATAAGATGAAAATAACAAAGTTCAGAGGTGAATACATATTCTGCCTGTTTTTCTCAAAAGCAGTCCAAACAGTGGGACTAAGCACACAAGTTACATGGAACTGCTTTTATACCTAGAAATATTCAGTTCATGTGCAAAAAGATACTAACATTTAAGAAGAAATGGATAAAGTAAGAGCACATTGCAAATGGATGGAAATCTCAAACACCAATCAGAGGCAGAATGGTTTTACATATATAGAAACTGTTAGAAGTTGATGAGACTTTTAATTCGAAGGTTCATGAATCCAAATAATCAAGTTTATCCTAGATACATTACTTAGATACAATGTATTTTATTAATTAAGTTTTCAAATCTTTTAGTTTTGTGTGTTGATTTTATTGTAATTCTTATCAAGAAGCATCCATAAATAGATGTTTGTAAAGAAGCAAACAAATGGCAAATTTCAAGAATTCCTTCTCGTCTTCTACTCTCATCTTCTAAGTTTACTTTTTCATATTTTTCAGTTTCAACAGTGGTATCAGAGCTTTCTTAATCTTTAAGGGCTGTGTAGTTCTTTTTTTTTTTTTTTTCATATTCAGATTCATGTGCAAAAAGATAAAAACTAACATTTAAGAGAAATGGATAAAGTAAGAGCACATTTGCAAAATGGATGAAAATCTTCAAACACCAATCAGAGGCAGAAATTTGGTTTTACATTATGAAACCGTTAGAAGTTGATTGAGACTTTTAATTCGAAGGTCATGAATCCAAATAATCAATTTATCCTAGATACAGTTACTTAGATAACATGTTATTTTATTTAATTTAAAGTTTTCAAAAATCTTTTTAGATTTTTTGTGGGTGTTGATTTTTACATGGTAACTTATCAGAAGCATCCATAAATAGATTGTTTTGGTAAAGAAAGCAAACAAAATGGGTGGGCAGAATTTCAAAAGAAGAAAATTCCTTCTGAGCGTCTTCTACTTCATCTTATAAAGTTTTACTTTTTCATAATTTTCTTTCAAAGTTTCAACCAGTGGTATCAAGAGCTTTTCTTAATCTTTAAGGGCTGTGTAGTTTCTTTTTTTTTTTTTTTTTTTTTTTTTCAACTCCATGTCGAATAATAGTTTTTTCCAGTTTCTCTGGTGCGAGCAATCCTAGCTCCTACAATCTTCCCTGCTTTTTTTTTTTTTTTTTTTCCTCCATGTCAAGATATAGTTTTTCTCCAGTTTCTCTGGTGCAGGAGCAATCCTAGTCCTACATCTTCCCCTGCATCATTCTCCGCCAGTGTTTTCTGGAGGAAACTAACAAGTTTGGGCCATCAAAATGAAGGCTTACCTACGAGCAATGTCTCTATGGGAAGTTGTTGAAACAGATGAAGAACCACCACCGTTAAGAGAAAATCCAACCATTGCTCAATTGAAGAAACATGAGGAAGATTTAGCAAAAAAACCAAAAGCTTTGACTTGCATTCATTCAATAGTCTCTAAAGCAATTTTCTGTAGGATCATGGCATATGAAACACCTAAAGAGGCATGGGACAAGTTGAAAGAAGAATTTGAGGGAAATAAGAGAGTTGAGGCAGTGAAGTTGTTTACTCTCAAAAGGGAGTTTGAAATGTTAAAAATGAAAGAAGGTGAAATGGTGAAAGACGACTCCTCTAGGATTATGCAACTGGTGAATCAGATTAGATTGTTTGGAGAAAAATTTGATGATTCTAAGGTGATCGAAAAAATTCTGGTTAGATTACCAGAAAAGTTTGAAGCCAAAATTTCAGCCATTGAGGATCGTTACTCTCTTGAGTTTAAAGATACCTCTTGCACTATTTCTAATCCTTATGGACGTGAAATAGCTGAAGTCAAAGTAGTTGACAATACTTGTCCATTTTGTTTGAAACATGGGAATCATCATGCTCTAAGTTGTAGTTCTAACGAAACATGGTTATAGCATAAGAGATTAGATCATTTCAACCTAAACTCATTAAAATTTATGCAAATTCATGGATATGTGCTTGATCCGCCTAAGATTTATGTTAGCAGCGTATTTGTGAGTCATTTCAGTTTGGGAAAATGCATAAACAAGCCTTTCCAGTCAATCAGTCTTGGAGAGTGACGAAAAAACTACAGCTAGTTCACACCGGTGTCTGTGGTCCCATGAATATTCCATCTTTAAACCAAAGCAGATTCTTTATTTTGTTCATAGATGATTCTACCAAATTTACATGGGTTGATTTCCTCAGTTGCAAGTTACAAGTTTTTGACATGTTCAAGAATTTCAACGCCATGATTGAGAATCAAAGTGGCGAGTAAGTTGAAGATTCTGAGATCAGATAATGGGAAAGAATGCTGCTCCAAATATTTCACAGTTTTTCTGCAAAGGTCGGGCATAGAGCATCAATTTTCAGTTAGCTATTCTCCTCAACAAAATGGTGTAGCTGAGAGGAAGAATAGGACAGTTGTAGAAATGGCAAGGTGTATGATAGCAGAAAAGAAATTGCGAAAGCAATTTTGGGCTGAAGCAGTTTTACTTCAGTATATCTCCTCAACAAATTGCCCACTAGATCTGTGAAAGGAATAACTCCACTTGAGACCTGGCATGAATCAAAACCTTCTCTCAAACATTTAAAGGTTTTATGTTCTGTCTGCTATGTTCATATTCCAAGTATAAAGCGAAGAAAGTTGGATGAAAAAGCAAAAGTGTGTTTGTTTTTGGGGTACGCTGCCACTCCAAAGGGTATAGAGTTTTCAATCTCAGCACCAAGAAAGTAGTAACTTGCAGAGATTTGACAGTTGATGAAATGGCAATTTGGGATTGATAAAAAGAAAAAGTTGAGAAGGAATAAATTAAATCTGACTCATCCAATGCAGAAATTGAAAGAACTAGTGAAGTTGATATTGCAAAAGAAAATGATCCCGAGTCACTAATCCTTAAAACAAAGTCATTACTAGAGATATATGAAAGTTGCAACATTGCAACTCAAACCCACTAGTTATCAAGAGGCTGCAATGCATGAAGAATGGAAGCAAGCCATGAAAGAAGAAATTGCAGCGATTGAGAAAATCAAACATGGGTTTTCACCCCAAAACTATGGGGCAGAAATGTGATTGGAGTAAAATGGGTGTTTAGAACGAAGTACAATGCTAATGGCATGGTCAACAAATACAAAGCAAGGTTAGTCGTTAAAAGGCTATGCCCAGTTGGCCGGAGTGGAGTGTGGAGATACATTTGCTCCTGTGTCTAGACATAATATATAAGGTTACTATTAGCACTTGCAGCACAAAACAGATGGAAAGTGTTTCATCTAGATCTGAAGTCTGCTTTTTTGAATGGCTTACTTGACGAGGAGATTTACATTCACCAACCAGAAGGTTTTGTAGTCAACGGAAGTGAAGAAAATTTACAAGCTTAAAAAAGCTTTATATGGTCTCAAACAGGCTCCCAGAGCCTGGTATGAAAGAGTTGACTCTTATTTACTCCTTCAAGGCTTCAGGAGGAGTGAAAATGAGGCTACCCTATACTACAAACATCTTTGTTTTTCCTCTTCATCTTCTTTGTGGTTGACAAAATCAGTTGAATTCATAACCTATATAACAAGTATTAACTTAACATGAAGATTATGTAAATCGGGTATCACTATTAAGAACTTAGAAAAATTGTATACCAAACACATTTTTTTTTAACTGTAATCATGTCAGAATGGAACCTATCTATAAGAGATACCTTAATCTTTACACCATACACAAGATTTTCATGGAGATAAAAATAGGAATTGAGAGTCTTATATTGTTATGTATTCAAACTATACCACTGTAAACATTACATAAAAAGATGAACTCAACCGCATTTTTTTGAACTTAATGAAATTATCCATTCAAGTTATTATATAAAGCCATTACTGATGTACATCAAATGAAAGAACACAAACAACAAAAGAAGCACTTGGGACAGTATCAAAATCCAAAAACATGATTACATTCCTACGATAAAGATGTTGCTAGGTCATAAGAAACCTGACTGCAGTAGTTCAGGATACAGGGCATGTACATAGCATATTATGATACCCATTATGGAATGGAATCTCTACCTGTCTCTCACTCTTTTCCAGTGACTAATTAACAAAGGAAAATTTGTTGTGAATGAAGTTATAATAATTGAAAAAAATGAGTAATGTATGAATCAACCATAGCACCATTTCATAAACAAGGAGGGAAATACATTTCGAAACTGAAAAATTAGATAACATCAGATACATGCTTATACTATGCACAAATTTAATAAAAAATATTTTTTCATATATTTAATTTGAATTTTGATATTCCACTTTTTAATAATAAATTTATTTTCTAATATGTGTAATAGTAATTTGTAGATAAATAATTCAGGAACTTGTTATATTTCAAACTTGATTTAACAAATATACTTAAATATTTTGCAAACTTTAATATACTTAAATATTTTGTAAATTTTAACTATAATTATATTAAACCATTTTTTGTTTTAAATGAACCCCTTGCATAAACTGTCGTAACCACAAATAAACTTTGCATGTATCTGATTTAGCCCCTAATTGACAGTTACACAAAATTAGATTACAACAACAATAACTTAGACTCACACTAGTTGGGTTCGCCACTTGAATTATTTGTTTGCAATATCAACTGATCAAATTAATATTTAAAATAGCACTACAAAGCAAATTATAAACGGAAAATATTTCTAAGTACCTTTTGGAGAAAAAAATTTCAAAAAGAAGATCTCTAACATCTTTGACATATTAATTTTAAATTATTTGATAAACTAATAAACAGAGCAAAGCATAAGATACGCAATACCAACTAACTAGGGTCTGTTATATGAATCTTTTGTCCATTCTATTCATAGCTATATCCTTACTAATGTTCATGGTAGATCGTTAGCGACAATTCCCTTCAAACAGTTCTAGGTTGACCTCTTCCCTTTTAAGCAGTATCACCACTAAAGTATCACATGTATGAACTGAAACATGTTGGGTTTACATAATACATGACCATCCTATCTCAAACGTCCTTCTCTCATTTTATCTCCTACTTGTAACTTTTATCTAATATGATCATTTTTAATGTCCAACCTTATGTGACCACATATCCATCTTAGCATTCAAATTTCCTCAACATTAATCTTCTGAACATGTTGGTCACTCAATGCTCGGTATTCTCTCCCACATAGCATTGCCGGTCTTACCACCGTCCTATTCAACTTACCTTTCACCTTGTTAGATATCTTCCTAGCGTATGGTACACCTATAGCATTCATCCATTTCATCCATCCTACTTCTATGAAAAATATCATCATCTGTGAGACCCTCCTGGAACATAGAGTCTAGACATTTGAATTGTTTGGACTTAGCCACCAACCTACCATCTAATCTAACCTCACTTTCCTGCTTCTTCCTTAAACCAAAATCACAGTCCATGTATTCCATCTTACTTCTGCTTAGCTTAAAATCCTTATATTCAAGAGTCCTCCATAGTTTCAACTATTGATTAATCGTTCACTAGTTTTATCAATCAAGACAATATAATCTATCAATAACATACACTAAGAAACATCCTCTTATGTATTACTAGTTAGCTCATCCATTACTAATAAATATGGGCTCAAAGCAAATCTTAAAGTAGCCCAACTTTCATATGGGCTCAAACGGACCTTCATATGCTTCAATGCCTCCTTGACCTTATTGTGTCTAATTCTACGAGTATACCTAGGGTTTCTATTTGTCACTGAGGCATGAAGGTCCGTGAAGTCCTTGTGGCTTTCATTGAATAACTGATCAAAATAGCACCTCCAACTCTCTTTAATCCCTGTATCTCCTTTTAACACCTAATGGAAATCATCTTTAATGCACTTAACTTGGCTTAAGTCCTGACCCTTTTTCTCTCTCAGCCTTGCAAGCTTGTGCATATCCTTCTCCCCCTCTTTTATTCTCAGCTTTTGGTACAAGTATGCGAATGCTTTATCTCTAATGTGCTAACTGTCTTTTAGCTTCTCTCTTTGCTCTCTTACATTCTTCAGAGGCCTCATCACTAGATGCTTTCGGCAATTTTCTATAGTACTTTCGTTTTGCCTTAATGACTTTTTGTACATTATTATTCCACCACCAAGAATCTTGTACTCGAGGCTCTAACCCTTTAGATACACCTAGCAATTCGCTTGCCACTTTCTTGAGGCAACCCGCCATTGCTTTCCATATGTCCTCCACATTAGATTGTGAAAGATTATATTCATGTAACTAACCCCAACATGGCCAATCAAGCTAGCATGTGCAAGAATTCCACAGCAATCCATCCATCCATTCTGTAATCAACCATTTCAGTTCAACCTCTTCTATTTCTAGATTCCAGCCATCCTCCACCTAACCTGATACCTAAAGCTAATGACGAATAAAAACAAAAGGATAGCATAACTAAGACAAAAGGTGAGAAACATATACAATGCATACGGGTCCTTTATTTTTATAAATGAAAAGTAACAAAAACTGTTTTCTTGGTCTCTGCATGAGATTTGTGAGTTCAGTAATTTGATTTATTTCTTTTTTATTCATTTGTTTATTGGTGAAATATGGGGCAACAGAATTTTAAGCGCATTTCCTTATATCATTTTCCTTTTTGTTTGCTTGCATGGAGATAATAAACAAGAAATTAAAGAAAAGGAGTGAGTTCTTCATCAACTGTATTGTAATTGCAGAAGTTTGTGTAAACTCAGCCATATTTTCCATTTTGGGATTAATTGATGAAACTAATCTCTTAAGGAATTGATTGCATATAATAACAAATAAAAATGCACCAATAGTTTAAGGGCTTATTTGGACTTTATCCCCATAAATTTGTAAGCAAAACTATAGCCAACATAAGAATGTATAGAACATACCCCTTTATATCTCTCCTTGTTCTTCTCCACCTGCAAGTATAATTCTAATTTCTTAGTCAACTTTTGAATAAATGAAAATAAAATATAAAAGTTGTGGAAAAAATCATCAGATATCAACGAAGTCAGACCATTAAGGAAGAAACTACTTAGAAATTATTTAGATTTCATTCTCAAACTTCATGAGTTTAATGAAAATACTTAGAAAATATTTTCTTAAGAAAACACTTTCTTAGAAATAACTTATTTACAGTTATTTGATTGTACATACTTAAAATCAATTATTATCTAGCATTTGCAGTCCACTTTATAGCATAAATTTTTCTTTCAATAAATAATTTATAATTTTTCTACCTAAAAATTGATATGTTATAAAATTTGCAAGAAGAGGGAGCAAACTGTGATTGAAACAGGTGGCTGCTGATGGAAGGGGTGGCGTTTGAGGTTTCCGACAATGGTAGACTAGTAGGTATATGTTTACGTGAGTCTCTTTTTGTAGATTATGAAAGATGTGGAAAATACTTTCCCATTCTGAAAAGTCATTTTTCTAAAAATGGCCAGGTTTCCCTTTGATGAACGCAGTATCCACCGAACAATTTATCCAAGTAACTACTCAAATATTAAAAAAGAGCACAAACTATTCTCGAGAAAAGTTCTTTTTTTTTTTTTTTTTTGGGGGCCTTTTGATGAACGCAGTATCCCAGCCGAACAATTTATCCAAGTTAACTACTTCAAATATATTAAAAAAGACGCACAAACTAATTCTCGAGAAAAGTTCTTTTTTTTTGTTTTTTTTTTTTTTTTTTTTTTGGGGGCAACACAACCAAAGCCTTAATTATCAATAAACAACCCCAAAAATTGTCTTCATGATTATTTCTACAAAAGTGGGGCTAATGTTAAGGGCTGGGGTATTGTTTGCTTCAACTATGAAGAAGATTTGTCAAATGAGCTATCAGTCCCAATAAAACAAAATTTGCATGGTGCAACAGGGTAAAGGGGAAAAGGCTCCAGAAGAAGAGGGAACATTGTTTGATTCTCGAAATCATGTACAATGTGATTCAACAGTTGAAGGTGTTACACAGACTTGTGCACCAGCAAGCCAAGGCTAAGTCAGGCCGAGTGATTTCCAACTAGGCCCAAGTCCACCCTACCTCAAATGATGTAAATGTAATTAACTCTCAGCTTATGTACAAGTCGAATTATTTTTTGGGTTGGGACGGATCCCAAGCCCATGAACATATTAAACACTAATCTCCTCTATGTTGTGAGCAGCATTCTGGCAATTATTAAGATGGAAAGAGTAGACTGACATCACACCTCAATGTTTCAAACTTCAAGTATGGAAAAGCCAATCATATAGGTTCTTAATGCTTAATGAAACAGAATTTGCATCTTGCAGGAGGCAAATGAAGAAGAATCACCATTAGAAGATTGCAAGGAAAATTGCATTTATGTTTTGCATTAAAGCATGCCTTAAGGATGGAGGAGTTGATTAGCAAAACCTTCTCCTCGATATTTGAAACTTTGGTTACAAACAGACATAGTAATTAAAGGCGCAAAGGGCTGCTGTAGCCTAGGCACTAACCTCCAGAGGAAGGCGCGCGCCTAAGCGAATTGAAGCGCCAAAAAAAAAAAAAAGAATAAAATACATAAATCTGAAAAATATATTTTAAGATATCAATCAAAAAAAAGGCGAAAAAAAGTAGAAGACATGGAAACACACATAAATCCGGAAAAAATGGCAATTTGATATGTAATATTTTGAGATATTAGAGTTTAGGCAGAAAAGAGTATAATCAAAAAAATGAAAACAAGAAAAGAAATAGAAAGCAAATATAGGTAGAAAAATTGAAAGAGTTATATCTGGATGGAATGGGGCTAAAGACTAGATTGCAAGAAGTGACTGCTAGATGAAGGAGTGGAGGTTGGATCACAAACCACATCACCGGCTTTTGTGTTGCATTTTATTTCTTATATATTTATTTATTTAAAGGAAGTTGGAGGTTGGATCCCACAAACCACATCACCGGCTTTTTGTGTTGCATTTTATTTTCTTTATATATTATTAATATATATATATATATAGTATAAGAAATATAAAAAAAAATAAAAAAAAAAGACCCTAGGTACTTGTTCTAAGGAAAACAAAAAATAGAAAGGCGGCGGCCTTTCTCAAGCCTTAAGGAGCAAAAAAAGGACGCAAGAAAGGTGCATGCATCTACACATATATATAAGAAATAAAAAAAAATAAAAAAAAAAACCCTAGGTAACTTGTTCTAGAAAACAAAAAATAGAAAGGCGCGCCTTTCTCAAGCCTTAGGAGCAAAAAAGACGCAAAAAGGTGCATGCATCTACCCAGAGGCAATAGCCTGAGTGAAGTTGCCCACCTCAGGACTGTTGAGGCACAAGCCCTTGAGCCTTAAGTAAGGGCGTGCCTCTCTAATAACTATGCAGACAGAAGCCAATCAATCTATGGTGGAAATTGCACATGTGAGGTACCAACATCCATAGGCAAATGCTTCAACTTTCCAACAAAACTACATCCTTAATGGCTTAGGCAAATAACTCAACTGTTCCAAAAACTAATTATTTGCAATTAATGTCCTTCTTGATTGAAATTCAGTCCTTCACTAACATAAGTGAATGGAGAGAACACGTCTACACCTTTTTAGTTACAATAAAAATAATACCTTTTTGAGTTGAAAAAATGTGTTGGACACTAAGAAGAATGAAGAAAGAAGGCGTAAATAGCAACTGCAATGAGGTAATGGAGCATTTTGATAGGAAATACTACAAAATTTACAGCAAAAAGCTACAAGACATCTAAGCAGAAAAAGCAAAATAGCAAGCTGGAAGGTCAAAAAAGCAGAATCAGCAACTAGAAGCAACAAATTGGCAGTCAAAAAAGCCAAAACAGCTAGCTTTCAGTTACAAAAAGTACTGGAATTGGTTCCCCCAAGAGAAATAAGCACAAAAATAAGGAACTTCACATGAAGTGATGTTGAGAAGAAAATATAAGATGATTTTGCTTCAAATAACTTGTAACAAATCATAAAAAAAATGGTTGTGCTACTTACTGCAATAAAGATGCTACAAGTGTGATTCATTGGTCCCACATGAATCAAATTCCTCGAAAAAGAGCAACTAACTCATTTTTATGGAGTTGACTAACAGATAGTGAAAGAGTGTACCAACTACAATTTCCAAAGCAGCTCTAGATATATTTGTCAAAATGAGAACCAAATTGAGAATCCAAATCCTCATTTTTCAAATTGCAAATCAAGAATTAAATCATACTATTCAATGTAAATTCTCAAAAGCTGAATTATCATACTTGAAAGAATAAATAATAAAGAAAAGGGATGATGAGTTAAATTAGAAAGTCAAAAAAATATGCATCTAAAACATCACAACATTACAATAAATTATTTGGGGGTGGTTGCCGGTAAAATGGAAGTTAAATTTGGAGGTTTGAACTTATTGTCTTATGGACTAGAATAAGGAAAGAATCAATTGAGCTGATTGATTAGCCTGATTCTCTGCCAATTTGCTCAATCTAGGAACATTTTCATTTTCCCAATAGATTCAAATTGCTACAGTGAAAAAATAAATCCAATCATGGGATTCGACAAAATATAAAAATCTAATAGTGGCTCTGAATGCAAGAGTTTATACGTACAAAATGGGGAAAAATAGAAGGGACAAAGGAATAACTTTACTGTACAAGATGTTGAATTTAAATTGCCTCTAGCTAATGTTGAAGAGACGAACTTTCTCATTCCAAGTTCAAAGGAAGCTTTAAAGAGTTATCATCGCTATCAACAACTGATAATGCAAAATTTAGTTTGCATCCAATTTTCAATTTTCAATAATAAGAATGCACTAATATATATCATCTATTTGCTACTTACTATAACATTTTAAGCTCATTGTTGAGTTTTCTCTAGCCTATGGAAAATGATACAGATGACAATAAAATCAAGAAAAAAAGAATCTTTAGACTTGGGTGGTATTTGATAGAGTGTTAAAAATTTAAGAACTGAATTTCAAGCATTTACTGAATAGAAATGCAGAATTCCCAAATTACTAAATTGTTTAGAAGACAAAGTTTTGGTTGTAATGAATTCAAATTTTAATTTAAATTTTTTGACTTCTCAGATTAAATGAATTTTAGCTTAATCGAAACTTTTAGGTAACATGTAGATAAGCATTATCAAATAATTTAAAACCAAAATGTCATGGAAATTTTACATTAAGATAATATCAAACACCACCTTAAAAACTTAAGAGTTATGGTCTAGATATCACACATTGAGCTTCTTTTGGAAGAACATTTAGTGGAGTCTTACAAAGTCATACATTCATGATTGTATCAAACAACAACAACTAAGACTTAATCCTAAACTATTTTGGGTCAGCTATATGAATCCTTTTCCGCTCCAGCCTATTAATCCCAAGTTCGCACTAATGTCAAGAAGTACTAAATTTTTTTGAAACAACTTTCCTCGATTTGGTTCTAGGTTTACCTCTACTCCCTTTTAGCACCCTCCATCATCAATGTAACACACTTATAAACCAGAGGACATGGAAGCCTACTAGGACATGACCAACCCATATCAGACATCCTTCCTCTGTTCTTATCTCCAACTTATGCTATTTGCACCTTTTGTCGAATGTGGTTATTTATAATCTTTTACAATACTTATCTGCCCAGAAATCCATCTCAACCTCCTCATTTGTACAATATTTATCTTGTTAATACGTTGGACATTTGAAGTCCAACTTCACTCCCACATAACATCGTAGATCTCACCATTATTCCATAGGACTTGCCCTTTGTTAGATATCTTTCTATCACATAGCACATCGTAGCAATCCTCCATTACATCCATCCAATTTTAGTTTAGAGGATTACATCTTCATATGGCATTCCACAATTCTGAAAAACACAGCACAAATATCTGAATTGCTTATCTTTGGGTACCATAAAACCATCCAATCTCAACACCTCATTCTTCTCACTAAGGCCAAACTCGTAGTGCTTGTATTTTATCTTACTTTTGTTTAACCTAAAACCTTTCCTCTCAAAAGTGCTTCTCCATGGTTCAACTTTTGATTTACTTTCTCAATAGTTTCATCCATTAGGAGAATATTTTCTGCAGATAACATTTAACATGGAACATCTTGTGTAATATTAGTTATCTCATTCATAACTAGAGTAAACAAGTAAGACTCAAGGCAAATCCCGGTCTTGCAGTTATGAACTCTTTCCCCTCCCATTGTTCTCACACTTGTCACTACATCTTCATATATCCTTAATGATATTTATATATTTACTCGAACTACTTTTTCTCCAATACCCTCCAAAATTTTAATTTCTAGCATTTGCCAAAATGGCTCTGTGACATTCTGACCTGGCAAAGTGATCCTAAAAGGGCGGGTAGAGCAAAGCTCCTAGCTAGCTTTTAGGATCGCAGGCTAACTATGGGTAGTGGAATGCAGGACACAGGAATGAATCGGATTATATATCGAACAAGGAAAAACTAATCATCAGAGACGCCTTTTGGTGGAATGGCTTGGAGAGTTGGAAGAACTCTACGGTTAAGCATACTCGCTTTACGGAAATTCTAGGATAGGTGACCTCCTGGGAAGTTCCCCATTTCACCTGCGGGACAAAACCTTGCAGGTCTTACCAATCCAGTATGGGATGGAACTGGCTTGATCCAAAGCGGATAATTCCTCTAGTGGTTGCAGTCAGGCGTGACAATTGGCATCAGAGCCGGACCACCTCCAGTAGATGTATGGTTCGAGGACGAACCACGCGGAAGCTGGTAGGCCTGTGACATCCCGACCTGGCAAAACAATCCTAAGAGGGCGGGTAGAGCAAAGCTCCTGGCTAGCTTCTAGGATAGCAAGCTAGCTATGAGTGGTGGAATGCGGGACACAGAAATAAATCAGATCATATATCGAAAAGGAGAAAACTAATCATCAGAAGTGTCTTTTGGTAGAATGGCTTGAAGAGTTGAAAGAACTCTAAGGTTAAGCGTGCTCACTTAACGGAAATCCTAAAATGGGTGACCTCCTGGGAAGTTTTTCATTTCACCTGCGGGACAAAACCGCGTAGCCTGTGACATCCGCGAACCTGGCAGAAGCAAATCCTAAGGAGGGCGGGTGGAGAGCAAAGGCTCCTGGGCTAGCGTTTCTAGGATAGGGCAAGCTAGCTACTGAAAGTGGTGGAAATGCCGGGACACAGGAATAAAATCAAGATCATATATCGAAGAAGGGAGAAAAACTGATCATCAGAAGTGTCTTTTGGGGTAGAATGGCTTGAAGAGTTGAAGAGCAATCTCTAAAGGTGTACAAAGAACTCTAAGGTTAAGCGTGCTCACTTAACGGAAATCCTAAAATGGGTGACCTCCTGGGAAGTTTTTCATTTCACCTGCGGGACAAAACCGTGCTTGATCCAAAGCGAGCAATTCCTCTAGTGGTTGAAATCGGGCGTGACGGGCTTAATTGGAGGTCTTTGGAACTTATTATTATCCTTGTGGAAAGCATTAATCCTTTTGCCAAAATGGCTTAATTTCTTCATTGTTTGGGCGTTAAAATGGGAAGGGAAAATAATAGAATCCAGAGAAATTGTGCTTCTCGATATCCCTTTAAAAAGTCGTGTTTTATTTCCTCCCATTTCAAAAGGGAATAAGAAGAAATAAGTCAAATGGATTTTCTAGTTTCTACTATACCATTCAAATATGAAAGAAACAAAAGGAGTACATATACAAATACAAGTAAATTTAACTTCCTTTAATGAGACCAAAACATCTTAAAGAGAAACTTAATTTCATTTCTTTTCATTTCTTTGCCCTTACATTTTTTAGTACCCAAACCAAATGTCAATTTTCCCACAAGCAATCCAAACTGGAGAAGAGTTGGGACCAGTTGTATGAGCCCAATATCTTAAAAGTTTTGGATCTCTAAGTGTATCAATTATAGTTTTAAAGTTGCACTTCAGGTGCAAGGCACTATAGGCAAAGCCCCTCGCACCTCAAATCCTAAGATACAAGCAATGTCATTGAGGTGTAGCTTGCTACTTCTTCACTTTAAGGCCAAAAGAGGTGGGACAAAGGAAATAGCAAATTATGACAATTAATTGAAATAAATCATGTCTTCAATCCTCCTCAATTTTAAGATGATTACCATATGTGTTATATGTGTTACCATATACATACAACATACAAACATATCTTAGGATGTTTAACATATATTTAGAAAACAAAACTAGCTTTATAACCATCCTTCCATAGCCAATCAAGAACCTCAAAAACACATTCTTCAATTACAATTGTTTTTCAGCTCAATTCTTTAGAGCCTAACATACAAAAGTACTCTAAACTTTTTTATTTGTTATCACTCCAAAATTACCTTTGTCTCCTGGGCACCATTGTTTTGAAACTTAGATATTTTAGCACCCCAAAATGAAATTAGGGTTAGGGTTTTATGCGGCCCATTTGACCACCTTAACTAACTTAACCCACATACTTTAAAAAATTTTGCAAAATGCAAGTAATCACATTACTACTAGCTTGCACGTGCAAAAATTACTACTACTAGTCATATCACAGATCCTCACTAATCATCCAAAAAGATAAAAAAAAGAAGATCCCCAAACAAAACAAATCCACAACCGAATAAGCAAAGGCTCTTTTTCATCTTCTACAACGAGTAATCCTAGAAGAGCCTCTGGTATAAGGGTTATTACTAGTTCTAGATTTGAATCAATTATGAGTATAATAAGATCTACATGACCATGGAGGGCAAGGAATTCTATTAGCCGCCAGAGCCCCACAAGAGAGATAATAATGAACTCTTCTCCAAAACAAAGATCTATGATCACCTCTCTCACATTTTCTTTGTCACTATCTAAATCTATCAATCCATTATCAAACTCACCTTTCTCTTACAAATCATTGTACATAGTCAGCCATTATCTTCAATCCTTTATCATCCACTTGAGCTTTGATTCTTAAACTAAGAGTAAGAAAAATGGAAAACAAAAAGAGAGAGTTTAGAGATCGCCATCAGAGAGAGACATTTGAAACTAAATTAAGCTAGAGAGAGGCTTAATTATTTTAATGGTCACTCTTTGAGTGATGGAAAGGGAATAGAAAAAGTAGGCATAAGAGGTAACATGGAGATGCAGTTTTTTACAACTACGCGCTATAAATTAAATATAAGATGCTAGGTAAAAATTGCTTACTCTCATCACTAAGATTATTTAGGTTCAATTACAGTCTAAGCTACCATTACTATGTAGAGAAGCTTCAATGGCGATGAGTTTGACAGCAGGGAGAAGAAGACTATCGAGATTGATAGGGTGATGTCAAGCTGAAGTGGGCAATGCCAGGCTGAAGAGAGAGAAATTTTGATTTGGGTTTCGAACAAAATGGTGCATATTGATTTATTTTGTCCTTGGTTAACTTAACCCAATGCAGTCAAGTGGGGCCACATAAATATTTTTTTTATTTTAAACCCCAACCTTAATCTCATTTGGGCTGCTAATATATCTAAGTGCCAAAAAATGGAATGCCCAGGACACAAAGGTCATTTTAGAGTGATATTGCACTAGGTTGATGAGTTAAAAGGTATTTTTGTATGTTAGGCCAATTCTTTACCCTATCAGTATTATGGATTATTCTAATTTACTTGAATTAGGATCATGGGTTAAAAATATAATTCTATTTTGTTTGGCTTTCAAAATTATTACTATTGTTTTATGTTGTTATAATTAAACTCATCTTGTATATGATTATATGCTTTCTCATACGGTACACCTTATGCCACTCAGGTGTTCTAGTGCCATGGCTTTGCCTATTGCAGCTTTAATAATTATGCTACAAATACTCATACTGTAACTTGTTAATCAACTTTCCAGTCTTAAAAATTTCGTCAATTTGTTGTTTCTTGTACTGAGTATTGCTCAAAGAAGTTAATGTCCCCCTCCCCCACCATTTTCACCAATAATGGACCCAACTGTATAACAAAATAAGAACAAATGCACCATCTAAGGGCGACTGCAAATTCCGAAATCAAAGAAAAATATTTACCTCTTCCTTTAATAGCCGGGTATTCTCCTCCTCAAGTTCTCTGACCAAAGACTCCAGCTCAATTGTGTGAGCCTAAGCATCAAGAGTAAAGTAAATTATAATCACAAGAATCAAAGATAAAAAGAGTTGAAAAATATTAGTATAATGGCCATAAAAACATTGAGATCTTGAATTCAATAGTTTGCTTGCCACAGAGAAAAATAAAGTCCTATCCGAGCCCAAGCCCAAGAGTTGCAGTCAAAGATAGAATTCCCATTCTCAAAATCCTATGATTCTAAAGAAACATTTATTTTAGCACTCCTAGAACTAATCAACAGACAAAATAAAAAACGAATTTTTTCAGCAATAGAAGAATTCAAAATACATTAAAAAAAATAAGAAGAAAAGAAAACCTGTTTCCGTTCCCTAGACCTGGCAGCAGATTCACGATTTTTTATCATTCTTTTCTGCTTCTGTTGGGTGGCCTTATCCATGGGAGGCTCCTCAACAGCTCTTCTTTTCTGTCTCCCTCTCCCTCCTCCTTCCGCCATGATCATCCCATGATTATTGATATCCACACTATAAGGTCCTACAGACATCTCCATCTGAGCCGGAACTCCAACCCCTTTAACGTCCTCCTCGCTAACAGCACCAGCCTTAGTCAAAAAATCCTCCAAAGTTATCCCCTCATTTCCCTCCCTCTTTTGATCGCTGCCGGATACGATCTCCTTCCACACCTCATCAACGGACTTGGACGCGCATCCAGGAAGAGGCGAGTGGTCATCGCATGGATAGGAATAAATATTTTTTAAGAGATCATCCATGGCGGTTGAAACCAGAGGGTTTTGTTCGGTAGTAGTGAACTGGTTTTGGTCCTGGTTTTGGTTTTGGAGATCGGCGAGTAGGGTGGAGAGGGAGGAACATAAGGAGGGTTGACGTGGCATATCAGAATTCGTCGATGACGTGGTCGCCATCACCTTCGACTAAGCCATAGCCCAAATCCAAAGGCTAAATCTAGCGGATTCCTAGGTTCGCATAGAATCTCTCCCACCGTATATGTTGATTGTTGGGTTTCTCCTTCTCGGTCTCCGTCTGGGGCCTGTGTTCTGCAGTTCGGCACGGAGGATAAGATCAGACCAAACTACAAAGAAAAAAGAAAGGACAAATGTAATCAATAGTTGTCGCCTAGGAATTTGTTGCCATTTTTCGTACTACTTCTCTGCATAATTTATTTATATTTTAGAAAAATAGCTTTTATCCATAATCCGTAATCTATATAAGCTAAACCATCCTAAATATCCTAAATCAAAATCAACTTAGCCCTACAATGCCCAAATTTCAAATTTATGTCACAGTTGCGCTCTAAGATAAAAGAGTGTATATGGATCGACAGAACAGTAATTAAATAATTTTCAGTTCCATATCAAAATATTTGAACATATAATATGAAGTATCAATCTCGTTCTAATAGATATAGAGTTACATCCTCGTCTCGTCCCGTTTCAATAAGTATATAGTTGCATCCCCATTTGGTTTAGTTTTTCACGATAGGATGTGACATTTGCATCCCATCTCGTTCAATTTTTCACGACGGGATGAGACATGAATTCGAGTGTATGGGACAGGACGGAATGGATTGGGTGAAGAATCAATCAAGATTTTTCATAAGCCCAATGCATAAATTCATCCATGTATTTTACATAAAAAATTTTATGGCACCATCAACTTTTACTTTAAACCTATTGAATACTTTCATTTATAAAATTATACTAATTAAATATTTTAACTTGCAAAAAAAATTCTATTAAATATTTAAATTTCTAAAATTAGATCAATTATACTTATTAGATAGTTAAAAAATGTAAAATCATTGTTTCAAATATTGTACAAACCAGAATATCTTGCATATAAATGCCAAAAAAAAACACCAAAAAAATATTACTGTTAGGATGTGAGGGATACAACATTAGCAGAATTCGTAACTTAAAGGGCATACTAGTTCACTTGCAAAGTTTGAGGTGCCGCAAAGTTTTTTCAACAAAATACAGGAGTATATTTATACATTTGGTCATTTTTCATAGTCTTACTAAAATTTTTTTTTACCAAAAAAGATAAAAATATTATACTCATCAATTACAATTAAATAAAATTCATCGATATAAATTTATGTTAAAAAAAGAATAAATCAAATAATTAATTTAATCATTAATTATCTACTACTAAAACTATAATAGAATAACTATTAGTAGTTACTTTTTATTTAATAAGAGCATCAAATATAATAAAATAAAATAATTCGAAACTATATATTATTTAATTTTACGTATATTTTATGAATTTTAACTCATTATTATTTTAGCTTACTTATGAGCATCAAATAATTTATTGTAGTGGTTCGACACTAACTCACCTACGTTCATTCCAAAAATCGTCTTGAGATCCTCTACTATGTTATCTCTTTTAAAATGTAAGAGACAAACCAACGTTATAAGGAAATAGATCAGAAATGTATATCTAACTTTTAACCCATTAGATTCCAAAGGTTCTAGTCGACCTCCACTCTTTTGTTTGTTAGAGAATAGAAAACTTCGAATCAAGACATTAGAATCTCACTAAAGAAGAAGGTTGCTTGATAACATTTTACAACATAGCTTTTCAACCTAAGTTATACACAAATGTTTTTTTTTTTTTTAAAACAATCTCTAGCCTATAATAAATTACATGAATCTATATAGATAGAGAGAAATGCAAGTATAAGCACAATAAGAATAAAAAACAGATTTGAAATCAGAGATTAAGATCAGAAGTGTTCTTTAAAAAAGTTGTTAAATAATTTCTTTTCTCTTAAAAATATTTATGAAAGAATAGTGAAAAAAAAGAAATAAAGGGGGTTGCAGAGAAATGCAAGTATAAGCACAGTAAGAATAAAAAACAGATTTGAAAACAGAGATTAAGATCAGAACTGTTCTTCAAATAAAGGGGGTTGCAGAGAAATGCAAGTATAAGCACAGTAAGAATAAAAAACAGATTTGAAAACAGAGATTAAGATCAGAACTGTTCTTCAAAAAGTTGTTAAATAATTTCTTTTCTCTTAAAAATATTTCTGGAAGAACAGAGAAGAAAAGATAAAGAGGGTTGCAAAGAAGAGCTTGGATGATTTGAAAATCTAAGAATGGATCTCTTACTCATGCCAACAATATTTTTAAAAGGAGAGAACATTTCTATACAAAAAGGGACTTTATAAATAACATTGGGATTTTGCTTTAATGAACAATGAGTGTTACTGACATTTAAATTAAAGAGACAGTGCATGAGTTGTATTTAAAATGATTGTTGGACCACCTTTTGCACATACACACGCAAAGCTTGGAAGTGAAGAGGCTGTTTTAGAAAACTGTGTTGCTTTACTACAGAAAATATTAGCTCTGTCAGAAACAGAATAGCTTTTGCAGAAACTCATTTAATAGTCACCAAAAATATTTCTTTCGAAAACCTTTTTCATTTAGATAAACCTGAAGATCAATGATCGAGGCTTTTTTCCTCTATGATATTTACTAAAAGTACTTCAAAAATGATTTTAAAAGATATAAAAGATATTTTGTACTTATAATAAAATTATCTATCTATCCTACAATATTTCCTAAGACTCATCTACTAAAAATATCTTCATTTTTTTTCATGATCTTTAATAAAAATCTTTGAATTGCAGGAACTTGAAATCTTTAATAATTTCAGCATTAAAATTCTGCATAAAATCACTTTAGCATATGGCCAACAAAAATTAAATGTAATTTAATTTTGATTCGTAATATTAGTTTTCGATATAAATATAAATTCTATTGGATAAACTAAGAAATTATATTATATACTAAATAAGATATATATTAAATATGGTAAGAATATATTATCTTTAAGGATTTTAATTTTATTAATAGAAAAAATAAAGGTAATTTAATTTAATTGGTTTAATATATACTATATAAAGTATAAATTAAATATGGCAAACATATAATACGTTTAATTATTTTTAATAAATTTTTAATTTGATTGGGTATAATTATTTCCTTCAAGTAACTGATTCTATAAAAATAAATGTAATTTATTATTATTTATTAGAAAATAAATGTAAGATTTATTACTTGACATAAAATAGATAATAAAACTTATTAGAAATATATATAAAATATAAAATTTTGATATAGCATGTAACTTTAGTAAATCATAAAATACATGGGAAGATTTTTTTTTCTCAAAAAGAACAACCATAAAATTAATTATATGTTTATATACTTTAACAAAAACTAAAAAAAAAAAAAGAAAATATTAAAATATAAATTTTTTTTATCAGCAGATGTAAATGTATTTGATTAATTAAACATATCTAGAAAAAATTTAGCAAAATCAAGGAACTATACTCGAGCCAATATGCCCCCAAATACACCCAATCCTACTTGAAAATGCTAAGTGAAAAAACCTGGAGAGCCTCAAAAACAAAATATTAATTTCTTTTGAGATAAGAAAAAATGAAATTAAATTCAAAATTGGATCAAATCAAAGTGCCCATGAAAATCAAAAACTAATTATGACCCAATCCTCATATATCCAAATTGAAGAACCTTTGCTCTATTATTTGATTAAAGCCACCTAACCGAAACAAAATTATAACCAAGCCAAAAAAAGTTCCACAGAAATTACTCCTTTTTTTAAGTAGATTATGTGCAAAACTATTTCTTTCTCTATTAACGTGTTTGAATTGGAAGGAAGATAAAGAACCAAGAAGACTGTCAAGCCTACTGAAATTGTACCACTATCTGCAAGGGCAATGTTCATGTTGAGAAACCCAAACTCAAGACAACTCTAGAATCTATCTCAAAGATAATTGGAATTTTGGCAAACTTTGAACAAGCATAAATCTCAACAGTTTTTAACAATGGAATAACTCAGCCACATTTAACTCTTTTGAACCAATGGATTCATAAAAAACACATAAAATAAACCCTGACGAATTCCTCAGTACACCTCCAAGACCCGCTGGTCTATGTTTTCCTAGGGCAGACCCATCTGAATATAAATGATGCTCTAAAATAATAATAATTATATTAATTATGATACTAGCTAGTAATGGTTTTTCATATTTTAGCAAAATATAAAGTTTATGGTATTATATTAGACATGAAAATTTTAATTTAGTTAATTTTAAATTGTTACAAGACAATAAGTTAATTAGTTGATAAGTAATTTTATATCATGAAAATTTGATTGTGAAATTATAATGATGTTTTATTATTATAAATATGTTATTTACTTAATAAGTTATTCAATTATAGAATGTTTATTTTATTATTTCATAAATATTTTTTTCTAATTTTTGAATCTTTTTAGATTTTTAGTAATATAATTGCTCATAATGTTATAATTTATAAAAAATATTATATATAAAAATTAAATTATATTTACTTGCAATGTATAAAATCAACGAGTATAAATAATGTGCAATGCATGTTCAAAAAATATAGTTAATAGATATATACAAACCATTAAAACTTCTACTCCCTCCGTCTTAAAAAGATATTTCACTTTTTATTTCACACAGATTAAGAAAGTAACAATTAAAGAAAATAACAATTATTATGGTTAAAGGACAATTTTATCCATATAACTTTTCTATTATACGCATCTTAAATAACACATGAGCAATTATTACATCGGAATAATGATTAAAAATTAATAAGGGTTATTGAAAATAAGATAAAATTTAATAAGGGTATTTTCACACAGATTAAGAAAGTAACAATTAAAGAAAAGTAACAATTATTATGGTTAAAAGACAATTACCGATTATAACTTTTCTATTATACGCATTCTTAAAAACACATGAGGCAAGTTATTACATCGGAATAATGATTAAAAATTTTAAAAATTAATAAGGGTTATTGAAAATAAGATAAAATTTAATAAGGGTATAATAGACAATTTAAGGATTAACTATAATGCAAAAAAAGGAAAATAAATTATATTTTGAGACAAATTAAAAAGGAATAAGTACTTTTTTTTCAAAAACTTTTAAAGATAGAAACATTATTCCATTAATAATATTCCTTATGTTCCGTTAAACTGACACCTGTTTATTTTATTCTATATCTTCATATTACTTTTCACTTCAGAAAATTGAGGAGGTGTTAATTTTTTTTTGTTCTAACTTTAGTTTTAT